TTGGCATCTATGTGTCTATAATACAGACTGTGTTTTTATTTTTTTTATTTACAAAAATGCCCAAGTTTCATGCAGCTCTTTCTTCCTTCCCCTCCCTTTCCCCTTTAAAAAACATAGTTATGTATCCTGTTCCTGGAAACACAGACTCTTCTCTGACTTACTGTCTCGTTTCTATTAAGTATTCCGCATTTTACACCTTATTGGTACATAAACCTTTCCTTATCCCCTTCATTTATACAATCCAGTTTCCCATGCAACTTTTTTTTGCATCTTTCTTTCCTTGGGTTCTCTCCACAAACATCAGGACTCATTTCTCTATCTCCCAGACTTTGTCTGCTTTTTCCTCTCCTCTCCCTTTCCAGTCCCTTCATAGATACATTTGCACCCCACATAGACCTGTCTTTAAGAACTGTTTGACAGACCATTCTACCAGTCTCTCCCGTTGTGAACACATGCTTCTCTGTATTGCACAGGCTGTGCTCCATGTCAGGTGGAACATCAATCCTGTATATAAAATCACAGCCAAGATCATGGCTTTTAGCAGCCTCACCTTTCCCTCTAAACTGTGTGGAAGCTAATATACAGCGGTTTTGCCACAATAAAGAGAATCACGCACAGGTGTCTTGCCTGAAAACAAGCACATTTTCAAGTCATTTGGCAACTAATTAATGCTGATGGGAGCAGGATTGTGAGATCTGGAGGCTCCTAGTCATGAACTGACATGAAGGGGGCAGTTACAAGAAGGTAGTCTAGCACTTGGATGAGGCAGGAGTGTGATTTTGCAACTAACTGCAACTGAATAGCCCTCTTCCTGATCTGCTCTGCTCTACTCACTCCACATGGGAAAGAGGCTGGAAAAGGTGCCCTAAAGATAGCCTTTCTACCATTTTTTCTGACTAGAAAACTGCATCCATTGGGATCACTTTTACTGGGGTTGAAATCAACAAAGACACACAATCCGTTTCAGGACCTAAAATATAAGGATTGTCCCAGTGTGATAGAGAAAAGGGGTGGAGACCCCTTTGCCAAGGCCAGAACTGCTGTGGGAGAACCCTGCACCCCCCGGGAAACAACCCGGAAAGCCCTGTGATGGGGGAAATACTTACTGGCTGCAGATCAGTGGCAGGCAGTTGAAAGAGGAACCACCCGCGTGCTTCATCAGTCATTTATCTATGTGGCTGGGGCCAGCGCACAGTGGTGACGTCATCTGGCAGCATCGGCCAGGAACTTTAAAAGCTGGCTGCCAGGAAGGAGCAGGGAAGCACCAGCTGAGAGGCGGCCCTAAGTTCCCAGCCAGCATGGCTGACAGACTCCAGTAAGGGACACAGGATGGAGTCCCGAAGAGAAGTCTGCCCTTTGACAGTGCGGTGCCTGGCATTGGTACCTGGAAAGGATGCTGAGGGAATAGCCATTGGTATAGACACAAGGACATGTGAGTCAGGAGGGGAGAGTGTTGCCTCCCTCTGCCCTTTCAGTTTTTGCATTTCTTTGTACATTTTAGTTGCCGCTGGAGCTTAGGCTCATAGATTACGTCTGGGGCTGAGGGATCAGGGCAGATGCCCCCACAGAACTTCCTGCAGCCCCCACTGGGGATAGATTCCGGCCAGGCCCCCAACGGGGCACATGCCACTACAGCCCCCACTCTAGGGGCGGAGTCCAACCAACCCCCTCCAGGGGAAGACAAGCCTGTGACCCCCACTACAGGGGCAAGTAGGACTCTAATGTGGAGCCAGGGAGTTTCCTCCAACCAGGCCCCCTTCAGAGGGGCTCCCAAGCCTGCCCCCCATCAGGGATCCAGGGCACGAGTAATGGGAAGGGCTCCTCCACAGCTGGGGATAGGAAGGGCAAGGGCCCAGACCGCCAGCACCTGTGGGGACCAGGTGTGCTACTCTAGCCAGCATGCCCACTCAGCTTGGCCTTGGCCCCACCAACACAGCCCCCCAGTGAGGGAGCCACAGCTATGCCCAGGTGTCTCCAGGACGACCCACAACTGCAGGGCCTGGACCCTCCAATGCTGCCCCTTCCAGCTTGGGCAGCAGGGCGCCTTCCTGGCACTCGCCCGCAGGCATGGGGTGAAGTACCAACTACCCAAGCAGGAGAACCTGCACTTTGAGACCTGGGTGCAGGCCCTGGCTCAGGTGGTGGGGCCCCCCAAAAATCGTGGTGGCCTCCTGCTTTCATGGCAAGGGGGTTTTTTTCGCTTGCCTTGGAGGCTGCCGCACAAAAGGCGGTGGAGAGGGGGCTTTTGGTAGAGGGCAAATGCATCCCTCTCAAGCTCCTAGAAGAGCTAGGGACCCAGGTGGTCCTTAGCTCCATCCCACCTTTATATCCCTGACTGGGCCCTGCCCCCCCAGCTCCACACCCTGGAGAGGGTTATCTCCCTGGTGGTAGCCCTCCCTCTGGGGTGCCAAGACCCCAGCCTTTGCCACATGAACTCTTTCCACTGGTAGGTCATGATCCAGGTGGTGGCGGGAGCATGCCTGGAGGCCAAGGGGTGCCTCATGATTCCCTTTCAGGGGGCCTTGGTGAGAGGATACCCTGGGGGACCTGTGTTGCTTCCAGTGCTGTGCCTCGGGGGCACTTGTCACAAATGCCCTTTGGGCCAGATGGGAAAAATATCCATGAGTCCCACTGGTGAGAGGGGTCCCCCTGCCATCAGTACCCCTCCCCCCTTGGGCCACCCTGGCACCCCAGCTACATCACCCAACCCATCCATGAGCTGAGGGAACCCTACCCCTCAACCAAGTTTGTCAGGGTCCCAGGGAGGGAGGCAGCAGCTGTGGCGAGAGAGGGAGCAGGGCCCATGGAAGAGGCCCGTATTCCACTATCCTGGGCCTGCCCCCCCGAGACGATGGGCGCCAAGGTTGAGACGAAGCCAATGGTAGGTCCAGTAGTGGAGCCCTCTCCTCTGATGACCTGGGGGAGACTGGGGCCCTTGGGCTCACCCCAGTGAGTCCTGAGTGGGGAGGTACTCTCTCCCAGGACCCTGAGGCAGGCACGAACGCCACCCCGGGGCCTGGCAGGTCTCCTTCCCCTCCCTCCCAGAATAGCCTTGCTACCAGCCCGCCCTGTGGTCCCACACCCAAGGGGGTTGAGGTGGGGTCCCGTGACCAACAGGCTCATCTTTTTGGGGACCCTGTGCAGAGCCCCTGGGGTTCCAGCTCTGCCGTGCCATCTTGTGAGGGAGGCCCACCCTCACACTTACCCCCACCCCTATTCCAAAAGGGCTGCAGAGCTCTCCCAGTCCCACCCTGAGTCCAGGGCCTTAGAGGACCGGAGGGTTCAGACCAAGGAGCCCACTGAGCCCCAGGACCAGAAGGACACCTGAGAACCGGCGGGCTCCATGGAGCCTGGTGGACCCCTCAGTCCTGGCAGTCCCCGGGGACGAGCTACTTGCATTCCTTGATCTCAAGTACACCCAGCTGTCTGCCAGCAAGATGCAGCTCACCTTGGACCACGGGAGATTTTGACAGCGTCCTTGATACTGAGAAGGTGCTGGTAGGGGAAGGCAAGGGACCCAAACACTGCAATGCCTGGATCTATAGGCGGGCCCACAGTTTTGTAGATGCCCCCTATGCCTATGGGAAGGCACTGTGTGAGCTGGCAGGCCCCATGCTGGGCATTGAGGTGCACAAGGCCCCTGCCGAACCGTCTATCCTCCCTGCCCCCGCCCCCCCCCAGCCATGAGGTCATTTAAGATTGCAACCCTCAATGTCCACGGCTACAGGGAGGGCCTCCGGAGATGCCAGGTGCTCTCCTTCCTTCAGGAGTGGGGTACCTTGTGGTATATCATAGATTTTCAGGGTTGGAAGGGACCTGAGCAGACCAAGTCTGACCCCCTGCCCTGGGCAGGACAGGAAAGAGCGCTGGGGTCAGATGACCCCAGCCAGGTGTTTGTCCAGTCTCTTCTTAAAGACCTCTAAGGTATGGGAGAGCACCAGCTCACTTGGAAGCTCATTCCAGATTCTGCTAACCCTCACCATAAAGAAGTTCATCCTGATGTCTAGTCTAAATCTGTTCTCTGTCAGTTTGTGGCCATTGTTTCTAGTTACTCCAAGGGGTGCCTTGGTAAATGGAGTATTTCCTATTCCTTGCTGCCCCCCCGCCCCCCAACAAACTTATAGATGGCCACCAAATCCCCTCTCAGCCTTCTCTTATGGAGGCTGAAGAGATCCAGGTCCCTCAACCTCTCCTCATAGTACCTATCCTGCAGGCCCCTAATCATACGTGTGGCCCTTCTCTGGACCCTGTCAAGGTTATCCACATCCCTCTTGAAGTGCAGCGCCCAAAACTAAACGCAGTACTCTGGCTGTGGCCTGACCAGTGCTGCATAGAGGGGAAGTATCACCTCCCTAGACCTGTTTGTGATGCGTCTATTAATGCGTGATAGTGTGTGGTTAGCTCTATTAATCCTTCTTGCAAGACACCCTGATGACTTCAGTCAATGAGCCTAGCTGGTGGCTGGAGTGGAAAGACAGGGTCTTTTTTTAGTCACTTCTTGGCCACCTCTTGTGGGGTGGCCATACTGTTCTCCCCAGGCCTACAGCCAGAGGGTCTCCAGGACATTGAGGTGGTGCCGGGCCACCTGCTGCATCTCTGGGTCCAAGTGCAGGGGCTGGTCCTGAACCTTCTGAACGTGTATGCCCCTGCAAAGGACCCGGAATTGGTGGGCTTCTGCCACTTACATTGGCACCCTCAACCCTCGCAAATGTCTGGTCCTTAGCAAGGACTTTAACATCACCCTGAATGTGCAAGGCTGGTTAGGCAGGGAGCAGAATCAGGCTGCCATGGGCATCCTCAGGGAGTGTTTGGTTAAGATCAACTGGACCCAGCCAGAGCCTATCCTGGTCAGGCAAGGGGTATATCAAGGCTGACCCCTGTCAGGCCAGCTGTATGAATTTGCCCTGGAGCCCTTCCTTATCCTCCTTTGGAGGCGGGTTGCAGGGTTGGAGCTCTGGGAGCCAGTGGTGTGACTGGTCCTGTTGGTGTATGTCGACGACATGCCCCTCACGGTCCAGGACCTGGTGCAGGTGGAGGCCTGTCAGGTGTTTTACTTGGTGGCCTCCTCTGCCCAGGTCAACTGGGTCAAGGGCTTTGGCCTGACAGTGGGTGGCAGTTGGACTCTCCCCCCCCGCACGCTCCGAGGCATCCACTGGAGCATGGGCTTGTTGCTCTACCTGGGGGCCTACCTGTCCCCCCAATCCCTCCCTGCTGGAGAACTGGCACCAGCTGGAGGCAAGGGTGACGGAGCAGCTGCAACCATGGATGGGACTGCTACGGTGTCTCTCCCTGCATGGGAGGGCACCGGTGTTGAACCAGCTGGTCCTGTCCATGCTCTAGCACTACTTACACACCCTGCTAGTGCCCTCTGAGGTTCTAGCTGGACTCTGGAGACAGGCGCTGGAACTTTTCTGGCTGGGACAGCCCTGGGTTGCTGCAGAGGTTCTGACCCTCCCCTTGCAGGAGTGCAGCCTGGTTTACCTGCGCAGTTAGGTCCTGATGTTCTGCCTTCAGGCCCAGGAGCAACTGCTATACAGTGTTGGTAGCCACACGGCATGGGGCCACCTGGGGCATGCCTTCCTCTGCCACATCGGGGGGGGCTCCAGTATGACTGGCAGCTCCTCGGCCTGCAGGGCTTCTCCCTGCAAGGGCTGCCAGAGTTCTACCAGGACCTCCTCTGGGCCTGGAGGCTGGTCTCTGCCTCCAGGTCCCCTGCGAGACTCACCCTGGGTGCTGATTTGCTCATTGAGCCCCTCTTCTGGAACCCCCAGCTGGAGGTGCCAACAGCAGAGGCGCCCTGGTTGTGACAGAGGCTGGCCCTAGGTGGTGTCACCTCTATCGGAGACTTCCTGGACTATGGTAGGTGGGTGTGGGTGGACTTCACTGCACTGGCCTGTTGCATGGATTTACCCACGATGCATGCAACTTGCCACCTAGTCCAGGAGGTGAAATCTGTCTTACCTCCCAACGCACTTGCCTTTGTCAACCAGATCCTGTGTGATGGCAGTCCCTGCTCCCCTGCTTCCCCCATGTCCTCCAGCCCACCAGGGTTTGTTGTATGGCCAGCACCTCGCCTGGCCTCACGGTGCTCCCTGCTCCACCACCTCAGCCAGCTGGAGGACACCAAGCCAGTCCACTTTTCCACCATCCATCGTCGCCACCTCTACACACTCGTATGCTGCATGATCCACCATGCTGCCCTCATGTCCCACCCAGACACCAGGTGGTGGGATCTGCTCAGCGAGGGTGTAGCTCGGGAACCCCAGTGGCTGAGCCTGTACTCCACCCTCATCCTACGAGCCACTGGGAACCTCAGCTGGTGGCTTCTCCATGGAGCCATTGCCACGGGCGTGTATGTAGCAAGCTTTACTGACACCCTGGTCTCCTGCCCCTTCAGTGGGCAGAGGGAGGTCCTGGCACACATGATGCTCGAGTGTGCCAGGCTGCAGCCCCGCCACCTCCACCTCTGGAACCCCCTCCTGAGGTTCTGGATTAACTTTCCCCGCCCCCACTGTTTTATTTAAGGACACCCCATCCGCAGCATTTCCTCTAAGCTGCGTGGCATGCGCAGGCGTGCTGGCAGTGAGGCATGAGTGCACCTGCGCGGCTGTGCATGCCATGCAGCTTAAAGGGAACACTGCCCATCCGCAGCCCCACCAAGCCCTCAGACCTCCTGGTCAACCTCTTCCTGGCCCTGGCCAAGTGGGACCTGTATGTGACCAGGAAGGAGGCTCTGGCCGGGAAGGTGCCCAGGGACTGCGGGGCTGCTTTTCTCTCACTGGTCTGCATGCTCCTCTGAGCAGAGCACTACTGGGCGGTGTCCACCGACTCCTTGAATGCCTTTGAGGACCAGTGGGCATGGCCTGGGGGGCTCTGTTCGGTGTTCCCGTCAGGAGCATTCATTTTCACGTTTTGACCCCTTGACCCACATGACACTACCATCCTGTGTTTTGCCTCTGTTGTCCCCAGAATTGTGTTGTTTCATTCATCCATTAGACCCTGCACAGTAGAGGCTACAAGTTAGCCAGGTGGACCTTAGGGCCACAGTAATGGAATGAGACAAATAGACAGGAGCTTCTGGGGCCCAGCCAATTGGTATCTGGGGACACTATGCCTTGTGCCAGCTGGACTGCTGTAGCAATCCTAACCAATAATTGCCCACTAAAATACAATTTGACCTTTTATTGTGCTTTTTATTCAGTTAAATGGCAAATCCCTGGGCAGGAAACAGTATGCATACACACAGAGCAGTGTATCTTCTTATAAAGAACTTAATTTCTATATATGATACCTGTTTCATTTCCAGAATAATCTAGAGCAATGGTGCTCAACCTTTTTTCCTGCCAGATGGGATGGGTAGTGCTTGGTCTGTCCATGGGCCAGATATGGCCAGTGGCCCTGATCTGGCATCTATGGTGGGCACAGCAGGACTCCATCTGGCTGTGCAGAGGGGGCCATGGGGCAACCTGGCCCAGATCCAGCCGTGCAGGGGGAAAAAGGCTCCGACCTGGCCCCATGGCGGGGAGAGGTGTAGCTTGGCCCCAATTCAGCCGCACAGGGAGAAGGAGGCATGGCCTGGCCACAGTATGACTGTGCAGGGGGAATGGGCATGGCCTAGCTCCAACCCACGGCATTGGGCTGGGGAATTTGGCAGTGGGAGGAGGGTGACAGCATTCATGGTCACTCTTCCCCCACCACTAAATTTGCTGATCTGTGGGGAGCCCCCTAGGCCGGATTCCATGGCTCAATGGGCCTCAAATTAGGCACCCCAGATCTATAAGGAGAAATTGCCTCCGGTATTAGTGGCTGGGAACTTGACTTAGATGAACAAAGTCACTAGCCAACTAATAGTTCAGTGGGGGGGACGACGACTCATGAGCACAGTCCACGCTCCAGTGTCTATCAACTAGATAGACTGCCCTAGAAGGGCCCCAATGTATTCTAATAATATGCTCAAACATGGATTTTAAAACTTGATCAAACTATGTCAGTTTATTAAATACTACAAATAACAACCAGAAAATACAAAATCTATTTCTATTACACTATATTGAAAAAAACAGCTTATGATACTACCTATACCCTAGGGCCTATTATTTACACTATATATGTATCTATATAGGAGACCATACTAGACTTACAAACATATAACAACAAAGGGAAGGATGGGTGATATTTACCTAAGGAAATTACGAAGTAGTACAACTGGGGACAGGACAGAATGAACCAGGACTACCATCAAGTATTCTCCTGTCACAGGGTCAATGATGTAGTCTTGAGATACAGTAGTATTACCCTCACGTCTATCAGTGTTGGGTAACTTCAGCCATGAACTATCCTTCAGGCTTGTACTCTTCCTTACAGCCTCTCTTTCAGGTGCGCAAGCCTTCAGACAAGTTTAGACCCTCACAAGCCTCACGCACTCAGGCACCCGCAGACACACACCTTCTGAGGGGAAGGATCCTTTTATACCTAGACTGCACATAGTACTCAATTTTCACACAGCCCACAGGTAATCTTCACACGACACTTAAGCAATAATGGATCTTTTGTGCACGGCACTTGATCTTTTATGCACGTTCCTCTACTTTCCTTTACCGGCAGGCTGCAGAGTCACCAAAAGTTCAAACTATATCTACAGCCTTACAGCATCTTCACAGAATGCTATTTGCAGTTTCATTATTCTCCATTTTGGGAGCTTGAAATAAAAGATGTTGCATTATGGAAGAATCATTTGTTTTATTTTTTCTTTGTTTATCCCTAACATGCGTGCTATTTTCTAGGGCTGTGCGAAATGGCTGTGTTTCAATTCGGTTTCAGATTCGGCCGTTCTGTGGACAGTGATTCGTTCCGGTGCTTTGGATCACTGTCCTGTTTCATTTCGGCCACATCTCCGAGTCTGTTTTGAAGCCCAGCAGGGCTTGGGGTTGGAGGCTGCAAGGCCCCAGCGGGCAGCAGGATGAGGCTGTGGGGTGGCTCATCCAGGGGAGGGGGAGGGCCACTACCCTCCATGCAGGCGAGGAGACCCCTGCATGGATCTTTGATCCCTGCGGATCCAGGTCGCGAGGCGGGGGACCAGCACTGCCGTGCCGCATGACCTGGCTCTGCAGGGAGCAGAGGTCCACGCCAGGGATCTCCTCCCCATGCCCACCCCTTGCAGCCCCGGATCTGTGCTCCCTGTGGAGTGCAGTCACGCGGCAGGGACCAGCACTGCCCTGCTGCATGACCTAGCTCCACAGGGAGCAGAGATCCATGCCAGGGATCTCCTCCCAACCGCTGTCCATCCTGGGCTGCACCGGATCTCTGCTCCCTTCACAACCAGGTCGCATGGCAGGGACTAGCACTGCCCTGCCATGCAACTTGACTCTGCAGAGAGCAGAGATCCATGCCAGGGTCTCCTCGCCACTGCTGCATGCCCCATGTAGCCCCACATCATCAGGGCAGCAGGGGGTGGGCAGCAGTGGCGATGAGACCCCCAGCACAGATCTATGCTCTCTGCAGAGTCAAGTCACATGGCAGGGCAGCAGCAGACAGCTGTTCCCCTGCAAGCCCAGCTCCAGAACTCCCTAATGTTCCAAAACATCTCCAAATCATTTCTGAAACGTTTCAGATGCCATGTTTCATTTTGGAGATGTTTCTGAGCCTTCCGTTTTGATTCAGATTTGGTATTTCGAGTGCCTAAATGGCCCGAAACACCTCCAAAATAAAACGGCTGCTGAAATTTCTCCCTTTTTTAGCTCTGAAAATGACCATCTCTAAAATTAGTTAATGATCTGTTATCTTTCAGCTACCTCTGCGTTCCCTCCTCTCTCGCTTTCCTGCCCCAGTCCAAAAATAGATTTCTTCATTTATATTTGCTAAAGAGTAATATTTGACTAGTTTTTCCATCCATCATTTTATCTGTGCTTCTGAATGGGCTGCATGTATCAATCTCAAGCATGTGTACTATTTTGTTTCACATAACAATCACTGTCCTAAAAGAAAGCCACATATGGACTATATTAAAAATTGTAGTCAGGTGTTAACAGTATACCTTAACATCTCATCTCTTACACTTATAAACTGGAGTTGCTCTTAATGTTTTTATAACAAAAAATGGGACAAGCGTGTCCTTTTTGTAGAGAGCTTCTTTGATGTAAAAGCCTGTTTTACTACTTGTAATTTAGGTTTTTCATAAAAAGAAAAAAGATCAGGTTATGACACCCATAAAATATACATTTCATTAAGTAATGTCTTTGACCAATAAGGTAGACTAGTTTTACACATGTACCTTTCTAATTTCTGGCCTTGTAGGATGCTAAAAATGGTGAGTTCTGCACAATTTGAACTTTAGAATGAATAAATATTTCCTCGTTTATTTGGAAGTAATGATAGAAGAATATGTTTATATTATTTTTTGCATTATCCTGACTGAGCCTGCTAAGCTATTTTAGGTGAAGGATTATTGTCTACTGGATGGACAATCAGAAAAGCTGATGTTGCCAGGGTGATGACAAAAAGTATTGCATATTATATGCCACAGCAATCTGCAGGGATCCTAGTTTTTCTGTTTAAAACTCCCAGATTCTTCGATTTAAAAACCCCAAATCCACTTTTTTCCACGATTAAAATGAAATGCTACTGTATATATAGATATCAGTTGAACACACTGTATTGACATATTTACAATTAAAAAAAAAATAGAAGCGTACCAGTGCCTCAATCATTAGAATAAAATAAATTCTAATATCTATATGTTTTGGCATTTGACTTTTTTTTTTATCATACAAAAAGCAGCACTCCCCCTGCCCCCTTTGCTCACCAGGATGAGGGTCCAGCTGTAGCTGTCACCCCTGCTGCCTTGCGGTGCTGAGCATCCCTGATATGCTGGTGTCCTGCCCCTGCCCATACCATTGCTCCCTATTCCCAAGCCACAGCCCCCACCCCAGCCCAGCCCTGCCAGTGCCCCTCACTCCTGACCCACAGCCCCCTGCTCCCCCCAGCCCTACTAGTGGCAGGTCCCCAGCTGCCCCCACACCCATGCAAACTCACAGGATAGTGGTCAGAAGGGACACAATGGGGATGGTCTCCACCATGAGGTGCATATAGCACACCTCACGTGGAAGCACAGGCAGTGGCTGGGGCACCACAGGCCACACTGTGTCATCGGCTGGGGCTGGGGCTGCAGCCCAGGGGGAAGGACTAAGCACTGCACTCCACTCCACAGCAGTGGCATTAAGCTGAGCATGACTGTGACCCAGGCCATGCGGGCAGCAGAAGGAGGGTGAGGGGTCCAGGCCCTATCCTGCCCAGGCCAGGGTGTAGTGGCTGCAGTTGTAGCAGCCCCCCAGATGGCCCCCAAGTCCTGGCCCTCCAATCCCCCCCCCTGCCCCCCCACATAGACCTACCTGTATCTAGCTGCTAGGGCTGCACCCACCACCCTACCTGGCTGTATGATGCCCATGTGGCACCTCCTGCATGCACATGGCGCCCCCTGCCTCCAATTGCCCTCCTCCCAGCTCCAAGCAGCTCCTTGCAAGCTGGAAGACTTCCAGCCTGCAAGGGGAAACCCAAGGTTTCCTGTTTTTCTCCTTTAAAGGGGAAAATCTGCATTTTTCTCCTTTAAATGAGAAAATCTGTGTTTTTCCACAGCAAATGGAAAACCTGGATTCCTGGTAATCTGTAATACTTGACTATCAAAGTACGGAGAACTTTGGAACTGAAAAAAACTGGAATTGTTATTCAGGCGATGTCCCTACAGGATTACGATGTGTTGAAACATATCCCTGAAAAAAGGATCTAATTTATAGCATTAGAGTAGTAAAGGCTGATATAGGTTTTATGTTTTTCTTACTTTGGGAATAGCCATTTTTTTTCTAATTTTCTTTCAGTAAAAAGATTCAGAGAACCAAAGCATGAAAGACGTCCTTGGAGGATATGGTAAGTGTTTAATATTAATGATTCTTAGAAAGCTTTTTATTTTCTAGATGTTATGGTAAGTGAAACAATGATCACTTGCATACAGTGTAAAATATCTGAAAGCACTTTTCTGGAGTCAAATATTCTGAAATGAGGAATGGTAAATTAGTCATGCCTTGCGATATATTTCCCCTGCTTATTTTTTCTTATTTCATGCAACTTAGAAAACTGTAAACATTTTTAAAAATATATTTTGCATTTAGAGTTGTGTATTTAATTGATAGAATTTGGTCCAACGTGTCTAGAAACTTGAGTTTATATAGCAGACATTTTTTTGAAAGCTGGTAGATTTTAGCTTTCAACTGATGCACAGGTTTGTGTAAATATCTTAGGTTTCCACACAGTATTTCATATTTTTCTGGTGTTAATTTAGGCGGGGGGGGCGGCTATGGAAACGTTAATCCAACTTTTAAAAAAAGACATCAAATAAATGAGTATCAATTCAGGTATCAAGGAATTATAGAAGCAAATTGAGTTGGAAGGGACTTCAGGAGGTCATCTTGTCCAGCCCCCTGCTCAAAGCAGAGCTATCTCCAAATATATCATCCCTAGGTGGGTCTTAAAAACCTTTAAGCATGGAGATTACACAACCTCTCTGGGTAACCTATTCCAGTGCTTTACTACCCTCCTAGCGAGAAAGTTTTCCTAATATCTAAACTTCCCTTGCGGCAACTTAAGACCATTACTCCTTTTTCTGCCATCTGCTACCACTGAGAGCAGTCTGGCTCCATCCTCTTTGAAACCACACTGAAGGTAGTTAAAGCCTGCTATTAAATCCCCCCTCAGTCTTCTCTTCTCAGAAGTCATGTGCCCCAGCCTCTAACCATTTTCACTGCCTTCTCCCAACTCTCTCCAATTTGTCCACATCCTTTCTTTAGTGGGGGGCCCAAAACTGAACACAGTACTCCAAATGTAGCCTCACTAGTGCTGAATAGAGAGGAAGAATCACTTCCTTCAGTCTGGTGCCAGTGCTCCTACTAACGTAGTCCAGTATGCCATTAGCCTTCTTTGCAACACGGGTACACTGGCTCAAATTCAGCTTATTGTCCACTGTAACCGCCAGGGCCTTTTCTGCAGAGCTGCTGCTTAGCAGGTCAGTCCCCAGCCTGTACTGGTGCTTGGGATTGTTCTGTCCTAAATGCAGGACTTTGCACTTGTTCTTATTGAACCTCATGAGATTTCTTTTGGTCCAATCCTCCAATTTCTCTAGGTCTCTCTATGGTTCTTGCAGAACTCTACAATGTCCAGTGACTTCATTTTGATCAAGAGGACATTGTTGATAGGGCTGTAACTGCTGCTGAAACTGATCCTGCACATAGTTAAAAAAATAAGCATTTTTTACAAGTGTTTATCTTACTAGAAAATGATTTTCTTTTTCCACTTTTTTTACTCATGAAAAGAATAATTTGTGTTGTGTAATTGTAAACTTATGTTAACGTACTGTTAATTGAAAGCCAGTATAGCTATTTATACTTTCAGACTAAAATATCAACATTGGTTTGCATTACCAAGTTGTTAAGGCACAGATACAATAGCCAGTGATATAATTTTATGCATGAACCAAAAAAGGATTGCAGTCTCTAGCAAGATCTTGCGTTATGTTGTATACAAAAGCCCACTGAAGATCAGGCTAGATTTAGTGTCACTCCACTAAATTTCAGTAATCCAAATGATATACTGAGTACCTCCTCATTGCTTAAATTGTAATAGAAGATGTGGTAGTATGGTCTTAAGTTACTAAGACTTTGTTTACCAGTATATGATAGAATATTTACAGGCAGACTAATAAACCACATATAAAGCTGAACTTTGCCAGCTTTATTTTTCTGTGTATTGACTTGCCAATTTGAACAATTTAATAATTAGCATGGCTTTCCAACTAATTAATATGAACTAGCAAGACTTTACTGTGTTTTACCTCTTAATGTGAGTACCTCTTGAAATCCAGTCTTTATTTTGTACAGGTTTTTAGATACTTCCAAGCAAGCCATAGGGATGTTGTTCATCCACTTTGCAAATGTGTATTTATCGGACCTTACCGAAGAGGACCCTTGTTCACTGTAAGTGCCATTTGAGTCTGCTACCCTCTAAGAAAAAGCAGCTGTATTTAGTCTAAAGTTCTGTTGATGGTTGGTGGAATGGAAGAAAAATCATTTTGAGGCTAAACAAATAATCCTTTGAAAACTTCTCACCTTAAGAACATATAGTCAAGCTTCAGAATTTTGGTCCCTTCCCGGTCAGTAGGACCTATTAAGTGTTGTGATATGACACACCTTGTACTGAAGGAAGAAAAGAGCACCTTGTATCATCAGCAAAATATTAGGGAGAACCATAAGAGAAGGTAAAACTAGCACAAGACTTATGGAAATGGGGACAAGGAGGCAGTAGGGGATCTTAGAAAGCAAAGATCTGATACGGGCTTCATTAAGTACCCCAAAATCATCCTTTCTTCCAATCTGGCATTCATGATGTGTGAAAGTGGTATCCAGAGATATTTTGCAATGACTCTCCTATCTGTGTGCCGTCTCCCAAAATGTATTTGTTTGCGCAGCATTACTTTCACTCTTTATTAATGCTGAGAAATTTTCCTCAGCATCTAAACATGAATACTGTGCTCTGAGCAATGTGACTAAATGGATAAGTATTTCATAACAGTGTACTAAATCTGAAGGTTTTGAGACAGTTTTCAACTCCACTTTTCAACTCCACCTTTCAACAGCTGCTACAGAAGCAAACGGGTAATATAATTTGGGGAGGTTGTTTTGTTTGTGTTTGGTTTGGGAGGGTTGTTTCGTTTTGTTTTTAAAGGGGCTCCTAGCCAAAGGACCCCACACGCTAAACTTCTGACAGTAGATTATATGAAACCATTTTAGTGACCTAATATTTTGGGCCTAAAGAGTTGCCCTTTGTAAACCACCCCAACTACGGCTGCAACAGCTATTCAGTAAATTGTCAAGTTACATAACTCCTTTTGCAATGCGATATCTTTTATTAGACCAACTAATTACTAACTCATTCCTCCTTAGTTTTCTTGTAGCTTCCACAAACTATAAGTAAATACCAATTGGACACTTTTTTCCCCTCCTGCCTCTTGACAGGGTAAATGAACGTGTAGTTATACACAAATGGTGTAAGCCTAAAATGTTTCTATGGTAGCCTGGATAAAGCATTCATCATATAGTGTAAGATTTAAAAATTCTTAAATTTATGACTTATGGGTTTGCCTGTAGATTTGTCAGATGTGCTGGATAAAAACTGATTTTCTCAATTTATAAAAATTCCTTTTAAAAACTATAAGTGAACAAAATTCAAACAGGATAGCATGTGCTTTACTAGTCCTAAAATCTTGGGGGAGATGGTGACCAGAAACAAACAGCCTAATTTAACAGATACAGATAATGCTTTTTTCAGTTTTAGTAATTAAGTAATACATTCAAAACATATTTTGATTAAATTGTATTTCAAGTGTATCCAGATTCATTTAGGGCAGTTTTATTTAATTTTCAGAAAAATATTTTTAAATGCTGTTGAATATTCAGTTTTAGATGCATTCTCATGATACACTCATTCCTTTGCCTTTTATTTAAATTCCAAAATCCATCTAAATACAACTTGACAAAAATAAAAAAAATCTTAATATATTAAATAAAATAAAATTATTATCTGAATTAATGAATATTAAGGTACATACTTGCATAAATTAACAAGTTAGGAAAAAAGGACCAAGAAAACTCTCTCTTCCTTTACAAAAAATATTAGAAAATACAAATGAACAGCAATATTAAAAAATCTTTATTTAAATCAAAGTTTCTGTTTCCAGATTTAAATCAATCCAGCCATATTGTGTACACTTATTTTTCTTATTATTAATCAAACACTGGAACTATTCTATTTTGTAACAGTGCATAGTCCAGCAGATTTTTATAGTACTTTTAGTTTACAAATATTAAATATGACTCCATAGTGTTATACAGCATTTATCACCAGTATGTGGAGTAGCTCATAGGGTTTCTCTACCCGTTACAGGTATTACACAATTAACTGGTTAATTGCATAGTTAACTGAGCAGCTACAGATGCGAAATACCTGTCACAACATAAAAAGGTCCAACCAACTATGAAGTTAGACCTTGAAAATGTATACTAATTTTATAACTGGTTGCCATCCAACTTTAATTTGCATGCGTAGCAGGGTCTCTGCCGTGCATAGCTGGGGTGGGAGTTTCACAGCTGAAGGGACTCAGTCCCAGTAGCACCTAGCAGCTGCAGGCACTGGGTCCCAGCAGCCCCAGGAGTGCATGGTGTGCCCCCATGGCTGGAAGATCACATAGCACCCTTGCAGGGTGAGGGGGATCCTTGCAAGCACTGGCAGGAGCTGATGGGAGTCTGTACTTCCAATGAGCTCCTGCTGCTGCTTGTGTGGAGCCACCTCACCCATGCCCCTGTGCATGCGCTGAAGGCAGGGACTGATCCTAATCAGCCTCTATCTCCACCAGTCTCACAGGGAGCCCCATTGCCCTTGCTGCCTGCAACTCAGGAACTTTGAAGGATTTCTGGTGCTCAAATGCCAGCACACTGGGAACTTTAAAGGACTCTCAGACAGCTATACACCTACTGCAGCTAGCTCTTGGGTTGGCCAGAAAATAGACTCACAGGCCTGTCAGTAAGCCTATTTCAGCTGTGAAGAAGCCCTCTGTTGTCCCCTGCCTGGAGAGCAGACCTTTGGCCCAGTAAAGTCAGGGGGCTCTGAACACATGGCTTTGTCATAGCACTTTATTTTTGTAGAACAAAATAAAAAATACCTGGAGAAGGCGAGAGAGAGAGTTCATTTCTATAATTCAGAAAGCTGCAAGGTAAGGATTCTGAAGATTCTTTTTGGTATCTTTTAAAACTCTCATAATAGTTAAATTGTAATTTTAAAGACTTGATTAGAAATGAATAAGCAACAGCACTGTATTTTCCAGTTTTACAGCAGCAATAATAGTATCACTCTGATTATTCTATGAAACACTTTCCGTTCCAGCCCTACTTCTCTATGATTTCTGTGATTACAATATTCATTCAGTGCATTTTATGATTAACACTTAAATTTGTAGAAGTACCAATTCCTACCAGGAAGTTGTGTGTATGAGCTTGTGACAGTAAAGCACGTCAACAGAATCTCTGGAGGTTTTATACTCTATTAGCCTCTCCCTAAGCTAAGGCTAGTTTGCTAGTTTCCAAATCTAACCCCTCAGTTCTTGAAACTACCATTTTACCTTTTTATATCCTGTGCCTGCTTTCTAATATTTGTTTATTCATCAACACAGCTTTTTTTTTTCTTCTAATCATTAGAGGGTACCAGCAGGGGCCAAATTTTACCACTACAGATATGTAAGAAAATTAAAGCTTCGTTACCCTTATTACAGGGGCACATCATCCATCCTGGAAGAAAGAATCCTAGGTAGCAGTGTATTTGAAAGGAGGTAGAATATAAATATGAACTTAAATCCTATATGAATCCCTGTGGATAATTGAATTGTCCAACTGATGGCCTTTGGGCTGCTTGAGGCCTGCAAGCGGTTAAGTTGTGGCCACTAGGCTCCTGCTATGTCACTTCACTTCATCTGAACAGCAGCTGGAGTCTGGACTTACCCTTCTTCCTCCAGCTTTGCAGCCTGTCCCTGGTGGGGGCATGGATAGAAGAGGAGTACAACATGGTAACATGGTGCTATGGGGAAGCTGAGGGTGAGAGTGAGTGCCAAAGTGCAGCAGTGGGGGTCAGGGCACAGGTGCACAGTGCAGTAGAGGTGGGGACCTCTGTGCAGCCCAAGGGACCCATGGCTTGCCCTGGTACAGTCCCCAGCCACTTAAATTGCACAGTCCTAGTGTATAACATAACATATACCAGGAGTCTCTTAAAATAGGAATGCATCAACTCTGTGTAACTATTGACATAGAAGATTGCATCATCAAAGTATTTTAATTATTCTGTCTAAAGATACTTGTGGCATTGTACACAAACATTCTGAATATCGAAAACTGCCTTAGCTGAATTAGAGCAGTCCTTCATCTTAACACTGAACTAATTTAATTTTCCCTGAAGTAGATTTAAGTTTCATCTCAGGTAAAACTTCTTCACTGTTGGAACAATGAGCCAGTGCAATAGACTGCCCAGGAAAGTTGTGGAATCTCCTTCCTTGGAGGTTTTCAAGAGGAAGCTGGATAAGCATTGGTCCAGGATGTTTAGGAATAACATTCCTGCATTCATGTAGAATAAGGGGATCAAACCTATCCCATGAATAGTTCCACAGGCCAGGTTGAGCAGCTCTGCAGGTATATTTGACCCTCCCCCCACAATGTAGAATTTAGGCCGGATAACCCATAACGTGCAAATTGCAAATTGTACATGGAATTTTAATTTGGAACTTAACTTGAAGAACAAAAGAATAGGACAGCTCTAAAACTATTTAAAATGTAAGTCTAGTATATAGTTACAGGACAAATGCCTATTCATTTTTTTTAAATCTCACTGATATCCTGACTTTTCAGAGAAGCATGCAAATATACCTTTTGTCCATTGCAGTGATAGCATATCCCTAGCATCAGGAGACAAGGCTGACCATGCTCACTGTTCTTCCTTACACACTTTTTCTTCCTTCCAGGTACCTTATAAATTTCTTGCTTGATGCCACTTTAGGAATGCTGTTAATCTATGCTGGTGTGCGTGCAGTCAGCAGCATAGTAGAATGGCAACAGTGGGAGTCCCTTCGTTTTGGTGAATATGGTAAATATTTCTAACCTTGCAATGAAATCACTTACATAGTAGAACAAGACAATGACACTTTACTTGACCTTCTTAAAATCATTACACACAACGTTTATAATACTCAGTTCTAACATTTGATTTCTGTTGAGTTCTTGAATCTCAAGCCATTTAATATATTAAAAAGAAAAAAAAACCCTCTAAAGACTTAATTAACCTAGGTTGCATGTTTGAAAGATATCCTTTTTGGAAAAATAAGTGAAGTTTATTAGACATTAAAATCTTAGCTAATTTCCATACAAACACTTCAACATAGTGGGCTCGTCTATATGTGTGCTTTAATGCGCATTAAAGTGTCACTAAAAAAATGCTATTTAGTTAATGGAGCAGGTTCAATTCATCAAGTCTGCTGGATTGTGGCAATTGCCACATTCCAGCAGCCTCCTGTGTCTTGTGTATCAGTGACCTTGCACTTAAACATGGTGGCAGAAGCACTTGATCTAAAGCTCATTGAATGAGCTTTAGCTCAAGCACCCCTACAGCCATTTTTAAGTGCAGGGATGCTGATACACAAGACATGGAGGTGCTTTAATTAGAGTGGCTCTCAGAGCCGCTCTAATTAAAGTGCCACCCCCACCGCGGGAGCATGTGTAAAAGTGCCTCATGCTCTTTGGTTAATGCACATTAATACAGACTAAATGCACATTTTCTCACAATGAAGGTACTAGATGTAATGTGTATTAACTAAAGCACTTTAATGCACATGTAGACATGCCCAGCTTTCATCTGGCATTATCCCCTTCTGAAGGCTGTGGTCAGGTCAATTAGGCACAACTCTTTAACTTAACTGAACCTCCAGCTTCTGTTGATAAAGGATTGCGAGTCCTCTAGTGATGTTTAAGATAAATCCACTCTTACCATAGTCAATTAAAGGAAAAATTCTGTATTGTTTAAGAATTATAAGTTGGTCTGTGTATATACAGAAAGGCTCATTCCATTGTGTTGCCACAGAATGTTTATTTCAAATTTTCTGCTGCTGGTCAAGGAATGACATGGTGGTGAAACTAAATCTGAAAGCTTTACCTCAATTCTCACTGTGCCATCATATAAAGGAAAAGAGAGAGGCTTTCCAAATTTTGTCTAGTTGAAGATACTTGAGGAAATCTCCAGGTGTCCTGTCCAGTCTTTCCAAGTTGCACCATTCTATTAATGCTCATCTGGCTAATCCAGATCCCTCAATCTTACAGTTTGGAACAAAGATTAATGCCTGGAATATATATAAACTTTTAGATGGTTAGTTCCTTGAGGCAAGAATAATGTTTTGTGTCTTGCATGAGCGCAGTTATGCTTTGCAAATAATAATGTAAAAAATTACATATTTTTAACTTAGATGTTTTTTGCTTAACACAGAATATCATCTTCTTTAAATATACTATAACATGTTGCCTTTTAATTTTTTTAGGTGATTGGTCAATAGATAATCCTATTATATTGGTACCTTGTGAACTTTGTGGCTAATTCCTGAACAAATTATTTTAATTGTTAAGCCTTTAAGATCAGATGTTGTGGTAAAAATGCTGTCAGAGGCACAGTATAGTGGAACAGTTCTTCTGTAATAACCACACTTTATATGTTTTTATATAAAGTTGATTTGTTTATGTTGGACTTCTAATTGTGAACTGCTGTCTGACCACCCCTAGATATTTTGCTTCATTGACTGGGTCCAGGGTTGCCAGGTCAAAGAAGACCACGTGTAGGTACTGTTAGTTCTATCCTCTGGGGGGAAAAAAAAACAAAGCATTTTAATTTTCAGACCAAAATGTAGTATTCTTATCAGTAGACAAGTTCACCATAGCTCAAAGATAAAGGAAATCTTCTGTCTACTTTCTGCATGCTTAGTACTTTATATTCACTTCCCCTGTTTCAAGAAGAAAAGAAATATATTTTGTGTGTTGGTAAAGCCACAAAAATTGTCTGAAGAAATATGTAAAACTTGCTTTTTTGGAAACTGCTGATATTTCAAGTTTATGTGTTACTGTATAATTTCACTTTTATCATCTCTCAGTTATTTTTAAGACATTTAACATCCTCATAGTTTCATAGTTTCATAGTTTGTAGGGTCGGAAGGGACCTTGACAGATCATCAAGTCCGACCCCCTGCCATGACAGGAAAGAGCACTGAGGTCAAACGACCTCAAATCAGCATAATTAATACCACTTACATATGTTCCTACATATACATTTCTCTGTAGAAAATGGGATGGAAATCTGTATTTTTTCTTGATAATAGTAATTTATACTTTGCATTAAGAAAAATAGGAGCTTTTCATTTGCTTTAGTCATTGAGCATTTCCTATCCAGTTGTGTACATATTTTAATTTTAATTTAATCCTTGTTTCCATTGCCAGTTTGATCTTAAGTTTTCTAATAGTTTTCTACAAGTTTTTGCATTTTAATTAATCTGCAGACTCTGAACTTAGCTCAGAACAAAATATGCGAATGAAGCAATAGTAGGCATCATTGCAAAACAACTGTGAACAAGTATTTCTGTCAGGTAAATGGTGGAATGGGATAATCTGAGGGTGCAAACAGAAGTAACAAGCGAAATGTTTAAGAGGTGTTAGAAATGTTTCAGAGGGCCAGCTCTACAAATGCACAAGCCCTTTAAAACATTTCAGAAGTGGCTGAAGCTGTCCCAGATAGTATATCTTAAAATGAGGTACGATTTTGAAGCATTTCACTTTGTTACTTGTATATGAGGACAGGGTGGTTAAACCTGCCAGGTGCATCTCTGGGTCCTCAGGCATTGCCAGGTCCCTGTGTGGACCTCCTGCATTCCCCCTTAGTAGTCCCACCCCCACCAGCTCCTTGCTTACCTGGGCCCCTGCTACCACCAGAGCTGGTCCATCTATCCCCAATCCCCTCTACCTCTACTAAAATGAAAGAGAGATTGTGGGATTTTGGAGAATAAGGATCCCAGTGGTGGTGGGGGAGCAGAGTTCCAGCTGCAGGTCACTGCAGACTCCTCCAGTGTCCTCTGGCTGGCACTAGAGGAGGCTACAGCATTTTGAAATGTTCCACCCAGGGAACTCCATAGGCTGAATATATTCCCTGGTTGAAACTGTGTCTTTTTATAAATATTTCTAAGCTTGTTTCCCATGGAAATATTTCAAAAGTTACTTCTATCTGCACTATAATACACTGTTAAGTAAGTTAGGGTTGGACAGTTATTATGACTGGGTTAACGAACAAGAGCTTGAAGTTTCTAATTTGGTCAACCATGGGATGGTTTTTTGTGACATGTTAGAAAATATTAAAGAATCTCACGAAGTGTTTGTTTTTTTCTTTCACATTAAGATGACAAATCAATGAAATATCTCCCAAAAGTATAAACTCATTGTATTATTAGTGCCCTCTTCATTATCTTTTTTATAACCAGGGATCCTGGTTTTCTCTGATTTAAAAAAAAAAAAAATCCCCAATTTTCAGATTAAAAAAGTAACCCAAAATCCAATCTGCCTGCTGAAAAGTTTATATTTCATCTTGATTGCAAATGTAAATAAAAATAGGGCTTTCAACTCTGCCTAAACTGACTAATTAGAATAGAACTCTATTTAACTCAGTTTAATTAAAATAGAACTCTCCTGTTTGTATTTCTAGAAGTATTATAACCATGTCTCATGTTCTTTTCTACGAGCACATCTCCTTTTTTAACCTTGATCTATAGTGATTCATTACTTGATGCAACATAAATTCCTCAGTTTCAAAGTCTGTCTTGATATGGAGGATACCCTTGTTTCTTGTCTTGTTTAAAAAAAATGAAATGTGTGCTTCCTTGCTTCCTCAAGGAAGAAAATGATATCAAAATTTATATTCAAAAGTAGTTTCTTTTTATAGAGCTGATTAAGAGTTCATGCCATTTATAAGTAAATGCATGGCTGCCCTGAAGAGTCAGGAACATTCTAGTTCTAAAATGAGGTATTTGGATTGAATATAAAATAAATATAAAATGCAAAATCATTTTATTCATTTGAATTCCCAATGATGAGAAAAACAGCTGAAATTCATATTTTCAGAACTTTTTGCAGGTTCTTTTTGGACCCTTTTCCTATTATCACGGAGAAACCTTATTCCCTCCCTCCATAAACAGCTTCACAAATACATCTTCAAGAGGTTAGAACCTGTGTTATGCTCTCATTAAATGCTCACCTATACAAGACTATTTAATCTTTTACTGCCACCTGGGTACTCTCATTAACAGAACCATTGTAAGAGTAACTGTTTCTACCAGGGTCTGTGACCATGTTAGTACCTCAGTTGTGATTCGCAAAGTCTGCCAATATATCTAAAAAGAATCAATATGGACACCTGATTTTCCTCCATTAGTCAAAGCAAGTGCTTTCTCTGTATCCTACCTGGCTTGAAAGGTAGAAGAATATTCAGAATTCTGAGGGAATGCAGTTGTGGAGGGATGAGAGTCTTGTAGCATGCCAAAATATTGTATGATCAATGTAAAACAGATTTATACTTTATCAGAATCACCTTGAAAAGATTCAGTGAGTTCTTGTATCTTTAAGCAAAACCTTTGGAGTGGGTTAAAAAATTGCTTCCTTTCTATTTTGATTCAGTACACTAAATCAGTTTCTTTGCCAATACAGTTAATGTAACTTGTAAAGTAGATATACAAAGTCAGATCTCAGTTATTAAGAGCAAAGTACTTTAGGTACCATCTTTTTATAAAAATATAGTAGCTTCCTGGTTACTGATAAACTGTACTCTGTGAATATTGTCCGTTATCCATGTTTCTCTATATGTCGTCCAAGTTATTTTTTTAGATGTGATCTTCCCCACCCCCACTTCCCAAGTATCTTTCCTTGTCTATTGTAGTGATACTTTGCATTTCTGTAGGCAGCTGAATTTCCATTCAATGGTTACTTATATTTTAGGATAAAACATATATAACATTTAAAGGCTAGGGGATCTGTGTGATAGATTTAAGATAAAAGAGATATATTTTCATA